TGTTCCCCTACGATCGTTTGACAGGCTTGAGTGCCAAAGATCGTGGTGCGCATTAGTGACTTTAACTACCATACGGTTTTCACCTCTGAGGAGCGCACCTATATCAGGGTGATATCCTGCCGGGCAGCAGGTGACAGGGGGTATGTATATGTTAAATATTTCGAGCTCGACATCGCCTGACCGGATAGCGATGCCCTGACATTCTAGGGTGGTATCCCTGCGGTCGATGTCTGCTTCGATAAGACGATACTGCACGGTGTGGTGCGTGATGAACGCTAAGCCACCACCATTATCTCGCTCGCGATCTCGACGGTGCACGTTGTACCCGGCGCAATTCAACAAAGTTGTGTGTTATGTGGTCTGTGGTGGCTGTGGTGTTATTATGTTGTTGTGTTGTGGCGACTGTGTGTGGTTGCTGTGTGAGTGTGTGGGGCTGCACGGGCGGACTATGGTTTGCCGTGGAGGCTGCTCTGTTTGAGCAACAGGGGGCCACGTACGACGTGGTCCACTGTCTGTGTGTCCGTAGTCCCGAGCAGACCCTGAGGTGACTCCACCCCTCGCAGGCATTACACTTGACTGAGGTGGAGTTGTGGTGTAAACGTCTTCGGCATACACAGCAGGTGTATATTTCTGGCCCAGGGTTTGACTCGATGCCAGCCCTGAGTAGGAGAATGCGTAGTGAATGTTGCCCTATGGACGGACAACTTCTGAGATACTTCGCCGACCTAAACGGGGTTAGATCGCCGAAACAACAGCCCTTGGTCGGGTGAAACCCGAGTCATTCCGGTACGTAGAACCGGCTGTCGTGGGAATCCCTTTTATAGGTAAGGCTGCCATCATTAAGGCTATGAAAGAAGGATTGTTGAATGGTTTTGCTCGAATATTTGCCACGGTTGGAGTCCACATTATTAAAAGGTTTTAGAAACAGTAATATCCTATCCATTTCATTGTTGAAATCCCTAATACTAAGGTTAGGTGGAAAGTATGCGCTACAAATGATGGTATTAGGGTTGAGATTTTTAGTCTCTATTAAAATAATGTAGTCAGAATGGAAAGTGATTCTTTTAAATAAGATGTCATTTTTGGTGGCAATGGCAACGCCACCATAACCATCAGGGCGATACTTTTTTACCAATTTAAAATTTATTAGTTTCCTGTGTGGAGTGCGGCTGGATAAAAAAAATTCGCCAAGCCAAGCAATGTCGATTGCATATTGTGCGCAGTGATTGACAATTATATACTGCCCCACGATTTTCTTCCTAGCGGGGGACTCCCATGTAGATAAGCTGCAAAAAATGCAAAACCGAGCGATGAGATTCATCCTCAACAAACCGTACGACACACCAACAAGATGTATGCTTGAATCCTTGAATTGGTTAAGCGTGAAGCAACAAGTTTTTTACCACGCTATGAAATTTGTGTACAATATTAAGAAGGGCAACCTGCCGGATTATCTTAGCGATAATCTCCGATATATAAATGAGACGCATACATATTTGTTGAGAGAGAATAACAGCTTCAGACTCCCGAAGTATAGAACAGAAGTGGACAAAAAAAATATTTTCTATAAAGGCTTAAAGTGCTTCAATGAATTACCAGAGGCTATAAAAAATTGTGATACTATCACTCTTTTCAAGCGGCTGCTATTTGACTATTGTAGAACGCAGCCTACAAGATAGTGATGTATCAACAATAGCGTGGATTGGAAACTAGGCCTTTCCAACCACCAAGATATCGAGACTAGGCGGATCGGAAACTCGGCCTTTCCGACTACCTAGACCCTTAGATAATAAACAATAAACGAGCGGATTGGAAACTAGGCCTTTCCAACCGTCAACCGTCACGAAAGCGCGACTGGGTGGATCGGAAACTCGGCCTTTCTGACCACCCAGGAGATATCAATAAATGGAGTAACCCAAAAAGAATAGCGCGGATTGGAAACTCGGCCTTTCCAACCGTCTACATAACTTCCAGGAAATTGCATGCGTTTATATTGACATAAAATAATTGCAGTGATAAAGAAATAATGTTATTTAAAAATTTCCGTAGAGCATTTTGGATTTTGTATTTAATATTTCATATTTACATTTTAAATCTAAATCTAATTATAAGAATGTTAAATCTTTGTTGCAATATAAGTCTTACAGACTGTAAAAAATAAATAAATAAAAAATAAATTATGTATATTGTAATAGCTTCATTTTGTATGAACGGATTTAGTGATCCCGTGATCTCAGTCTCATCTCTTTTTGCGATGATTGTTTCGAATTGATTTTTAAGGCATTGTATCCCTTCAAAAAGTGCAGTGTTATTATTTTCAATGGAAATTCGTTGTGTGATTCTTATCATCTCTGTTATGAGCCGTTCAAATTGGGACACAAGACCTTTTTGGTACTCAGGCGAATTGTAGACCGGGTTCCCAGGGGACTTAACTTTTGTCCGTCTTTTAGCAGTCTGGCTGTATGCACTCTCAGTGAAGTTCCTATTTAAATTGTTTCTCTATCCACCACCTCAGTATTTTGCATCGGCAAAACAGGGAAAACCTCATCATCACATTCCAAAATGCTGAAGCTATTGCTTCTCGGAAAGTATTGATCCAATACTTCCTTCCAGGATTACTTCTTGACCGTCCTGATGCGATTGACCATCTGTTCTTTCTTCCAATGAGGGCACTTTTCTTTATTTTTAGCCGAGTGGCCCGAATTACCGCACAAAATGCAGGCATTGGCACTACATGAAGGCATTCACCTTTACCGCACATAACACACCTCTTTTTGCCCTTGCATGACAACTTGGTGTGACCAAGGCGGCCACAATTGTCACATTGTCTCAAAGGAGGAATATAAAAGTCAACAGAGAGCTTGGTATAATTGTAAATTATAAATTTGGGTATATCATCGCCCGCGAAACCGATTGTTACTGTGGTTGTAGGCACATATGCATTGCTTATTGCGTCTTTTCTATTAAAGCGTCTGACGGAACATACCGGAATAGTAGACCTAGCCTCATTTTTGATATTATTTTCCTCAAAGCACGTGGGTATGCCCCTTACTACTTCATAAATTTCTAATGCTGTTCTGGGTATAAACGGCCTTAAGCCTCTTAATAATTTTTGTATCACTTATAAAATTGTTGGCCGCTAAGGTATTTTTGAACGTAACTTTGTATAATGTTTTGCCAATGGCAGTAATTAGGTCCATGTATTTGACTCTTAAATCTTTAATTTGGCTGAATAAAGTCAGACCAGTTGAGACTTTTTCGTTTGTCATCTGTGTGTTGGCTGATGCATCAACCAACACAAAGATTTCACCCTTAAAGTGTTGAGGGTATAACACTGTGTCAGTTTCGTCACTTGTATGTTGATTTGGTCTAACTAACAGCCACCTGCGTTTTAAGTCCCGTTGCTGTCCCCTGCATCGGTTTCAACAACCATGCAGTTACTTTGCTCTACAGTTATTTTTTCGCTACACTTTTTCCATCGTTTTCATGCAATCTTACTAGCCCTCCACTAGCAGAAAGCTCAGAAAAATCAGAACCAGCGTCATCATTGCTAATTCTTGGTCTTTTTTGTCTTTTTTGGTTTTTTTTCTTTTTTTTCAAAGGCAACTTAATATTTTTCAAATTAAAACGCTACCACAAAAACCAAGGAAGAAAATTTGCCAAATTTGCCAGGATGTCTCACCTAATCCTTATGCTTTCCCAGATTTGTTATTACGAAGACAACACACGCTTTAATTTAACTAGAAATTACACGCACACACAGAAGCCAAAACAATTAGCAAACGATTTACTGCACTGTACTTCACACAAGAAATGTTCAACAAGAGGACGCGCACGACCCACGCACGCTCATTGAAGTGATGACAGGAGGACTCAGTAGTCCCCACAAATCAGGTTGTACGTCTTAGTATGTTATATTCTTGCTGCTATGGGTTATGTATAGGTGTTGCTCCACTGATGCACTCAGGTAATACCGGTGAGGCCAGAACCACGTACATGAGTTTCTGCTTTGCTATTTGAGTTTCTGCTTTGCTTTCTTTCTTGTGTGTAGTTTTTAATTTGTTGGAGATATGCGAGCGTGATTTTAGCAATCACATTAACCGATGGCGGATTTAGTAGGCTAGGACTTTGTGGAACGAATATTAGTTATATAAATGAATGCTGTTTATAGACAAAAATTTGGGGGTTTATAGCAGCAAAATGATATAATTAGACTTAAGCGGATCATACATTAAAAGGTAAGTTTAGCTTTCTGTATAAATTTAACGAGCTGAGAGATTTTGGCTTGATCATTACATTTAAAAACGTCTTCAAAATTGTTATAGAGTGAAAATACATCGAATTCTTGTCTAATGTTCGCATGTCTTTTGCAGTGGAAGGTCTGATGTACATACATAGTTATCAGATTGACCACAGTAGCATCTATGTGAGTTGGAGGCTTTTATTTTGACCAAGTATGCTTTATCATATGTGTGACCCGACAGTATTCTATTTAGAGTTTTGATATCGGTTGGCGATAACGAACTTTGAACCAAGCAAATTTCCTCCTCAAGGGTGTGTGGCTGCATATAGATTGGGTTTGAGATTTGAGTATTCTAAGAAATTGTCATACCATTCATTAAAAATAACATTCTTGATTTGATTGGTGGTTTCATCTATCGTGAGTCTAGCAATCCTTAGCGTGCCTTCAGTGGTTGCACGTTTGGCTATAGCATCAGCCCTTTCGTTGCCTGAAATACCTACATGACTTGGGGTCCAAACCAGAGCTACTTCAGCTAGGTCAGCCTCACTAATTTTCTTATGGATTTGATGTGCAATGCTGTTATTTGTATTAGGATCTTTAAGGATTTGGCAGGAGGTTAGGCTGTCAGTAAAATATAACAACTTTTTCTTGATTGTCATTAATGGCAATAGTAATTGCCTCGTCAATAGCATAGAGTTCACCAAAAGTGGATGACGCCCTGAAATCAAAGCGGTAGAGGTGTTCAGTGTTCTTAGAGTAGTTATGTATTCCAAAACCGGTGTTTTCTTTGGTTATAAACGCATCAGTGTACATTATGCAAAAGTTATTGCTTTTGAAGTTTTCAAGAATGCTATAATGATGAGTTTTGAGACTTTCACTAGACATGGATGTTTTTCTGTGTGGTATATTTTTATCAAGGATTTGAATACTAGAGACTGAAGTGTGACGGCAAACCGGATCAAGACGATCTAGAAAGTTGGAAAATTTACTGTATACATTAGAGTAGCTGGAGTTAAGGTGCGGGTTTGAGATTATAGAATTTGAGATGGGATCTTTAAAGGCAAGGATTTTGATTAATTCCTTAGCAGTAAGCCATACAGCGCGTTCTTTAGGTGGGAGTTCATTGGCCAGAGCGTACATAACTGGAATGGGAGTCGATGGAGTTAACCCAAGACATCTTCTCAAAAATTTGTTTTGTAAGGTGCATATTTTCTTGACAGATGTTTTAGCACAGTTGGCTGCCGTGGTGCTGCAGTACTGTATTTTGGACCTTACAAGAGACTTGTAAGTGTTTAAAGCCTTTTGGGGGTGTAGACCTGATTTAATGTTGGTCAGATATTTGAACAATTTGATGTTGTTAGTGGCTGACTCAACTATCATGGAGTGGTGATTTTTAATTGTAAAAGAGAGAGAGCTGTTGATGATTCTTCCAAGTATTTTCAGACTGTTAACATGGTCAAGTCTGGATCCATTAATAGAGATATTAATGGTTTTGCTCGGTCCTCTGTTAACATGCATCAGCTTGGTTTTAACAGGATTAAAAGAGAGATTTGATTGCTTACATTTGTTGATAAAAGAATTGAGTTTAAGCTGTAAATTCAGTTGGACTTCTGAGAGGTTAGAGCCTGTTGCTACAAGGAAGAAGTCATCAGCAAATTGAAATATTTGCATGTTACTGTCATTTCTATCATGTAGTTTAGAGGTGAAATGTTGAAAAGAAGAGGTGACAAGCAGCTGCCTTGTGGTAAACCATTATAAATATCAATTGTGTTGTTTCCAATGTTTAGGACTCTGTGAGCAAGAAAGTTAGTGATCCATTCAGTGTAAAGGATTTCAACATTCAAATTAGATAGAAGGTCCCTGAGAATTTTAATATCCACGCAGTTATACGCATTTGAGATGTCTGTTGAACAAAAGATTACTTGTTTTTTGTTGGCTTTTTGCAAATTTATGTAGTCTAAGATGTGATTTACACACAGCAGACGATTTTGTTTTTCTTTACGCAAAAGAGTTGCTGGGTAGGATGTTGTTGTCCTCTACAAAGGAGTCCAATATTTCTTTGATGCATGAGGTAATAAGTTTGAGGAAAACCGAGATTAAAGCAATAGGTCTAAAATTGTTGAAATCAATGTTGGTTAGATAGGAATAGGTCATTTGAAGCAGTTTTTAAGGAATTCAGGGTTTGTTCCGGAAGGGTTTTGAGCATATTGTAAGTTATTTTATCAACCCCTGCAGCTGAATTTTTCTTTTTTTTTTGTTCAAGCAGGTTTGTATCTCTTCAAAGGAAAAGGCTAAGTTGGGATCTGGTACTACCTCTTTGTTTACCTCAAACCTTGTTTCTTGTGCTGGGACCTGGCTATTAAGCATATTTAAAAAGTCTGCATCATTCTCATGATTCCACTGATTGTTGCTGTTTTGACTGAAATCTCCTCTTAAGGCTTTAACAAAACGCCATACATTCCTCCCCTTCTCTACATTTATTTCCTCAATCTTACTGGTGAAATTGGCTTTTTTGGCCTTTTTGATTGCCTTTTTCCACTCCTTCTGTAGTGTCAAAAGGTGTTCAAAGTTGCTTAGACTAGGAAAATTTCTCGCTTTCTTGGTGGCAGCAGTTAACAGTCTGAACATTTTGGCTAAATCTTCATTCCACCACGCTTTAGGAACCCTATCTTTACTAGTAGCATATGTGTCATTACTTATTTCATCTTTGATTTTGCTTTCAAGGTCGCCAATATTTGACTCACATTCAAGAAGTTTAAGGGTATTAAGGTATTTTCATGTTCAAATATGGAGTGGCTATAGTCAAGGATTTCTCTCTCATCTTTTTTGTTCATAATCTGATAAAATTGGGTTTTTAAAATCTGTACTTCCTTGAACGTTTTGTTGTCACTGAACTCTATGGAGATTCTTTGAGTAATTTTTAAAAGTTGAGACATTTGCCTCTGCATTTGCGTAACAATTCCCTTTTGATATGACGGGGATTTTTGAACGTAATTTTGTAAAGGGACCTACCTAATGAATATATGTAGTCAATGTCAATGTGCCTTAAATCCTTAATTTGGATGAAAAGAGTCAAGCCAGTGGTAACCCTGTCATTTTTCAGGTTGGGACATTCAGAGGAGTCAACTAGTACATTGAAATTTGCTGGGTACAGTACTGTTCTAATCACACTTTCATTATTCTCTTTTACACATTTTTCAGTCTCCTGTAACGGGACCTCTATGCCCTTTTCACCTTCATGCCTATTCTCACATTCCATGCTACTGGAATCTTCCGACATTTTGCTACTGGAATTTACCGACATTTTACTGCTGGGATTTTCTGACGTTTTAGCGCCAAAATTCCCGCTAATTTTTACGAGCACCCCGCGCTGGCGAGCTCATAAAAACTTGCAATTTTTTCATTTTTTAAAATTCTCGGTTTCTTGGATGTACCACCACTTTCAGAGTCTTCAGCCTCTGACGACCATGTGGTCGACGTCGCCATTATGGCTGGCTTTTTATTACCTGCCACTAGTGGCAGGTTTTTCTTTTGTAATTTTGGCACAATTGAAACAAGGTCTTTTTCCAAGTGAAAAAGAGGGATGAAAGCACACGATTTATGTTGAAATTATATATAAAATGATCAAGCCAAAAACTCACCTGAATTTGTCAAAGCTGCACCCACATGCTAAAGATTACCTTACGCTATTTATTAACGCGACGCACAGTTATATTATTTAAAGTAGATTAAGTTTGCTTGCATGCAAGCGCACAAAGAATGCTTCCCACACAGAAAGCCCTTTATTGTATTTTTTTTTGCAATTTAACACTTAAGACAAAAAAGAAACGTGGGAGTTACACTGTCACTACAAAAACGCGTCGAACCACCTCGCCCGAATGCCAAAATCCGAATGACATATAACTTAAACTTAATTAAACACCAACACGCATCCAGAGACTGTCCAAGGTCAATTTTGAGATATTGAGATCTAAAATACAATGCATATTTCGTACTTTTGGCTGTGCACATAAACGTAAGCCACAAATCATGCACTCAAGCATCTCTTACCCAAGTGATAAGTGTCCTTGAGTCGCATGGTTTTCTTTCTTTACATCAAGGCGTGGGACAATATGCCTGTGATGCATGCAACATTGGATACACCAAAATATACGTATATACTGCGATTGTACCTACCCAACGAACACTGGAACAACAATTTTCAAACATTTGAGAAAATCGTATTTCTCAATTTGATTTTCAGCATTGTTTATTCCCAACGAACACTGGAACAAAAATTTTCAAACGTTTGAGAAAATCGTATTTCTTAATTTGATTTTCAGTATTGTTTATTATTTGTAACTAAATATTTTCTCAAATTTTTCTCAAACATTGTTTATCAATTTGAGAACGGTTTGAGAAACATTTGAGAAAAAATTTGATAGCATTCCGTTCCGTTTCATCTGTGTCAACATGGCACAGATGTCGAAGTCCATTGGTAGTCTGCTACATCAGTCGCAAAATGGCTCTTCGACCACGTGGTCGCTGTTATTCGCAATTTGTCTAATTTCAAAACAAACTATGCAACTAATTTTTTATATCAACCGTATTTTTCTTTGTTAAACTAACTGAATAAATACGCTATTAAATAAACTGTTAAACTGCATAAATAAAAATTCCTTTCCTATAAAAACTGTGTTTCTCTTACATGTATCATTGGCAACACTATACAAATATTTCAATGAGAGTAACTGGATTTTATTTCGTTCCGCTCTACTCACGTTTGAGAAAAAGTTGAGAATTCAACATTTCTCAATTTGAAAATAAAGGAAAACTTCATATCAAAAAATTGCCTTTTAGTTTGAGAACGCTATCAACGGTTATTTGAGATGCATTTGAGAATCAACGTTTGAGATTTGAGAAAAGGACTGATTCTCAAATGCATCTCAAATTGAAATTTAACAGAAATGTTTATTGGGCACAAAGATGCAACACATGGACACAAGCGTATGGACATACATATATGTATATATATGCGTGTTGCTGTTCATAAGTAGATATGAACAAACATGGTGTTTGGACCTTTCATCTAGAATGATATAGAATCTTCTCAATCTGGGTGGTCTTCAATATCTACGTTCTTGATTGCTTCTCTTTGTGTGAACTATTCCGTGGATTTAGTACATCACATTACTCTTATTACCGTCAAAATCTTTAAGTTTCTAGTTATTATTTATTACTTGCTGTAAATCCTTAAAGCTCTTTGTTATTGTTAGTGTTTGTCTTTCAATACAAAATACAAGCGTAATCCACAAAATTGTTTAGCTTCTACATATCTAATTTGAATAAAAAATAATAAAATATGCTTAGTTAATTTAAATGGCTCTTTTATTTTTCAAATAGGGATATTTCAAAAGTAATTTTTAATATTACGTATGTATATGTATTAAATAAAATACTTCAAATTATTACCCGTTTTGTAGTCAAAAAGGGTAATTCTTTTTAATATTTCTGGCCTTTACCCTTTAAAAAAATCTAAGGGGCGAACGCTTCCCATAGTGTCAAATCTTCCTTCTCGCTCTTATTACTTCACCTGGTATTATTCCACCATCTTGTTCACAATTGTTGTTTGAGATTGAAAATGAAAATGTGTGTGTGTGAGTTTGAGTTTCGAATTTTTAAATTATCCCTCTTAGAACCCGAATTTTCGTAATTCGTAATTCGTAGCTACGCTACGAAAAACGAAAAATCCACATGCTGAAACCCTTGCGGAAACATGTGCAGCATTGCCAGCTATCAGTTGTTTTTCGAAAATAGCTGAATGAAGGAAAACAAAGTGCAAAGCAATTAAAAAAACATTCATTATGTGCTTGTTTATTGTAAAATTGATTAATTTTACATATTTTGAGGAAAATGATGGATTCTGATGCATTTGCAATTATAGCAGCAGAGTAAGAGGGCGCTATGGCAATGGATTCACAAAGGTATGCGGAGCTGTCGGGCATAGTAGCCATGGGCGCATCTATGTCAGCTTCTGGTTGAATTGTTGAACCACAAGCCCAGAACTCCTCCTATGCCTGAAGCTCTGGTTCTCAATCCAGTGAATGCATTAACAGCTTCTTCCAAGCCATTGAAAACATGCATGTTAGGTCCACCACCTGTTGCGCCTGCTTCTGCCTTCGGCCGCACTTAGGGATTATAGCCCTTACTAAGTAGAATTCTCCTTTCTGTGTTGCGGGAAGAGTGGCTTCCGCATGTCAAAGGTATACAACATTTATTGTGCATATCACTTCGGNTGTTAGGTCCACCACCTGTTGCGCCTGCTTCTGCCTTCGGCCGCACTTAGGGATTATAGCCCTTACTAAGTAGAATTCTCCTTTCTGTGTTGCGGGAAGAGTGGCTTCCGCATGTCAAAGGTATACAACATTTATTGTGCATATCACTTCGGCTACGCCGTCCACAGTACTTTGCGCAGAACCCACGTCGAAATTTGCAAAAAAGTGCATAGTGAAAACCGAGTTTATTAATAAGTTAGTGGTAGGAAATTTGAAACATTTATCCTAAATAAAATGTGAATCCTTCGATTACACGTGTTTGTTAAAGTTTTTGGATTCGGGTTACGCGTTTGGACACAACAACCGAAAATCATTTTACAAATAACTAAACCGGACCCAAGTTTATCGATAAGGGGCAATAAGGATTCTTTTTTGCTCGTTTATATAAAGCAGTGGATAAAAATATACGTATATGCGAAAGGCAAATTTATCTGTTTAAATGAACACCACCAATATTTCTTGCAAACACGCATCGATTTATATCTTTTATTTCTCCTCCGACAAAGAATTGTTTTCGTACAAAATTACGCAAAAAAGCTTACTCGTTCGTTTTTAGGCATGCCATTGTTACGAATTTCGAAAGTTCGAAATTACGATTCGGATTGCAGCATACTATTTTTACGATTCGTAGCAAAATCCGAATACGAAAGAGTTGCAGAATAGGGGTGTATATTGTTGGCAAACGTCAGACTGCCTCTCAATGTTTTTACCTTGTTATGTTTTTATCATGGCTATTGCCGTTCACAACTGTCTTCAGTTGACTGTAGCCATTGAAAAAGTCGGAAATTTGATAGAAATTTTGTTAATTTCATAATATTATGTTATTTTAATGATATTAAAAAATTAAAAGTAAAAAAAAAATGGAAATCTGTTACGGATTATGTTTTACCGATAAGCCCGAGGATGCTAGCGCTAGATAACGTAACAGACAACTACGTTTTCAAAGTCAACTATCTTGAAAGTTGTGAATCATAATAAGGACCTAAATTTATTTATCTAATAATAATGCAGCACACAACCCTGAAATCGAAGAAAAAGTCTGAGGATGGGCATTAACTAGCAGGGTTGTGTGCCTTCCTCAAGGGGTAATATAGCTACAACAACAACGATTACTACAACAACAACAACCCAAAAAGTAGTCTGTTCCAATAGCAGTCCGGTTTACAGGATTTAGTCAGAACTTACAGGAAGTCGTTCCTATTGACATAAAACCTGTAAGTGGGAACACATTTGAGAGAGTAACTGAGCAACTGTTCCTAGTCAGAAGTTACAGGATTTAGTCCGGAGTTTTTTTTCCTGTAAGTTCATGAAAAGTGTCAAACGATCAGCTGATTTACATGTGCAAACAAAAACAGAAAGCGGTGAAAGCAAAGAACCTTATATTTGTTAAAAAATGGAAGTAAACAACGAAATATTTGAATATGTATAGATTTTAATAATTATTTAGTGATATTTCAGCCAAATCAGTGTAGTACCAATGACATGTAAACAAACCGTCTGACGTTTTTACAGGAAATAGTGCTTTTTGCGTTCCTATGCACTTCTGCATCTGTTCTCCTTTTACTCTCATTTGAGAGCGTAAAATTGTAGTTTGACAGTTCCACAGGTTTTAGTCCGAAGTTCAAAGGAACAGACTAAAGGTTGGCTACTGTCTATACTGTGGTGATTATCGAAGTTACGACTTTTGAGCTCTATTAGGGGTGTGGGTTTTTCGATTAGGTTATTCATCACCTGATTGATTAATCGAATATTTTTGTATCACAATAAAAGTAATATTTAACCTTTATTAATTTATAATTTATTGTGTTTCTGTGCAAATTTGGTCCTGGAATATCTCTAAAATCACAATTTCTCAAACGCTGAAGAAAGAAAGTCGAATATTACAGTTCACTGATGATATTAACACTAAAATATAGTTAATCGATTATCGATTCACAGCAACAAAGTCATCACCAGATACACAGCAACAACGTCATCACGAGATTCACTTAAATGTTTAATTTTTGCTGTAAAGTTGAAGATGTATTGAAACTAAAATATAATTGTTATTTTCGTAATTTATTTTTGAGCTATAGGCCGTATGTTAAATAAAACATTAAATCCGGTCGACCGGACAAAGCTAATAGTTCCTGAAGATGCCTTCAGACTGAAGGCGAAATATCGACCAAAATAAAACTATAAAGTAAATAAAAAAAACTATAAAGTAAAGAAAAACATTTAGTGTTTTATTTAACATACGGCCTATAGCTCAAAAATAAATTATTAAATTGTTATTTTCGTCAAATATTTACAAAATAATTATGAAACTTTATCCACCCATTAATTTCTGTGGGCTTTACAACTATACATGTGAAAATTAAAACCAAATAACTTCTTCCAAATAACCGATGCCAGATCGGAGATTTATCAGGCGTTTTTTTAGTAGCCTAGTGAGTCTACGGTCGTCTTCAAGCTGGCCAATGGCAGTGCAGACATTTTCCATATCAATAAGCACGCCGCCTTCGCGGGTTTTCCGAACAGATCGAATTACGGTCTACGTTTTCTCAGGTTGGAGCTTACCACATATCGTTTCCAGGTTTGACCTGGTGCTGGCCCTGATTTGGGCTTTCTGCGTTTCTCAACCGTTATCCATTGATTATTTGGTGCGGTTTCTGCCCTTTTTTTTCTTTTCCGGCTCGCCTGTAGGGGAGTCCGATCGAAGTCGAGCCCTCTTTTGTGAGCCAGTGCCAGTTTTTCGCAGCTCGGAAAGGGTAGACCTTTTCCGGCGTTTCTCTCGGTGATTGCTTAGTATATTGAAGCTCTTCTCGATTTGGTCCATACCCGTTTTTATGTCCATGCACGCATCTTTCTGATTCGAGACAGCACTCTGCATCTGCTTCAAGACGAGCCGAATTTGTGCTCATCTTCAATGCGCGCATTTCTGCTGCTCTTTCTGAATGCGCTGCATTCTTCCTCCAGAGCATCTACACCGGTTTTATTGGTTTGTTTTTGTTTATTAATTTCTATTGGTTCACCGCTTCAAGTCGCTATTTCCACACGAGGCACACTCGCTTTAAATGTCCCGAAGTTCCTCTCAAAGGAGCAGGCCTTCGCGAGGGCTGTCACAAGTCAATGTCATCAGCTGTGTGCTACAGAACAATATAAAATGTGCCGAACTGAACGGTGAACCGTACTTCAGCACCGTCTCCGGAAAAAATGTTTTGAGAGCAAATAAAAAGTTGTCCGGTCACGAACTGTGAACGCGCCTTAAATCTCAACTGGACCAGTGCGGCCAACTAAATGGCGACCCGTATTGAACGTACTTGGAAGACCTGCCAGGGTTTTAACGAGACGGAGGCGATTGCAGCATTAGCCCATCAGCCATTTCTGTGATGTATCACCCTCACATACTAAAGTGACGTAATACTGCTCTCGCCAGCCCAACAGGATCTAATTGGTCTCAATCCTGGGATGCTTTTTCCCAGCAAACAGTCTCTAACGTTAGAGAAATTTGGATTTCTACATTAGATAACTAAGGTAATTCTCTAATCGTTCTCGACTCGATGACGAAGTTAGAGAACTACATTAAAATTCGATTCGAGAACGATTAGAAAACAACACAAATTCAAATAATGTAAATAAGCAATATTCGATATAAAGGAATCATAAATTATTTTTAAGTTCAAATAATTCATTATTATTTTATTGCANAGGTAATTCTCTAATCGTTCTCGACTCGATGACGAAGTTAGAGAACTACATTAAAATTCGATTCGAGAACGATTAGAAAACAACACAAATTCAAATAATGTAAATAAGCAATATTCGATATAAAGGAATCATAAATTATTTTTAAGTTCAAATAATTCATTATTATTTTATTGCAAATACATTTAATACAAATTTTACCAACAAAGCGTTTTATTTAATAAAGCAAAACAGTAGTTTAAAATTCACATTCGAATCCCATTAGAGATCAACATTAGAATTCGATTAGAGAAGTAATAATTTCTCGAGTCGAGAACTATGTCCAATTTTTATTGAGATCGCTACGATTCTCGATAGAGTTTTTCGAGCCGTTCTCTAACGTTAGAGATTGGAGAATGTGACTAGTCCTCCAATCATTCTCTAATCGATAACTAACCTCAATGTTTGCTGGGTTGGGAGGCGGCATCATGTTCATTAAGCATGTCTGATGTTTTAAATCAGGCCCTTGTCTCCTGCCGCTCTTGGTCTGGGATTGCTTATTAGTTATTAGCAGCTAACCTACCGGAGTAGGGCCGTTCACGATCCGCCCTGTGTGACCCCGGTAATGTCGTGAGCTTAGCCCTTACCATTACTATTATTACTAAAGAATTGCAATTAGTTTATTAAACTCAGATGGTAGGATCTGCAGTCCGACAGGGCATGTAATTCAAGCGGACTTCATCCGCATTCATAACGCAGGATACCAGTAACGGTTCTCTAAATTCTCCAGTAAGGACGCCATTCTGTGTACCATTAAGGGTGCCATAATATACACCATTAGTCAGTCCATTTTTATACATATGCATGGATTAGTCCAAGACAGGGATGGGCGTTTTTGAATAAATTATTATTCAAATAAAAAATAAAATTTTATTCATAATTTTTCTAATTTTGAATTGCAAATAAATTTTTATTCTTCGTTCAAGCACTTTGGAATGATGAATAAAAATTGCAAATAACAAAAAAAAAATTATTCTTCATTCAAGCACTTTAGAATGATGAATAAATTTTTATTCATCATTCAAGTAATTTCAAATAACGAATAAATTTTTATTCATCATTCAAGTAATTTAGATTGATGAATAAATTTTTTTTCTTCATTCAAGTAATTTCAAATAAAGAATAAATTTTTATTCATCATTCAAGTAATTTCGAATGAACAATAAATTTTCATTAATGATTCAAGTAATACTGAATAAGGGATAATTTTTCATTTATTCATTCTTTCTTGATCACAGTACCACGTAGACGATCATGGTAAATTTTCGTGTCTTATATAACTACATACATATGTAGATTTTGATATCATATTTTCTAATATTTCACACAGAATAAATATTTATATAAGACACGAACATTTACCATGATCGTCTACCTGGTACTGTGATCAAGTAAGAATAGATAAATGAAAAATTATGCGTTATTCAATATAACTTGAATCAAAAATGAAAATTTATTCTTCATTCGAAACTACTTGAATGATGAATAAAAATTTATTCGTTATTTGAAATTACTTGAATGATGAATAAAAATTTATTCATCATTCGAAAGTGCTTGAATGAAGAATAAAATTTATTCGTTATTTGAAATTACTCGAATGATGAATAAAAATTTAATTAATTTAATTTAAAAATAACTTTAATGACGAATAAAAATGTATTCATCATTCCAAAGTGCTTCAATGAAGAATAAAAAATTATTCGGCATTCAAAATTGTTGAAATGATGAATGAAAACTTATTCTTATTTTTTTATTCAATTATTCATTTTCCTGATTACGCTCATGCCTGGTCCAAGAGAACAGTGCCCGAAGCAGTAACAGTCCTGACTGTTCTGTCCCGAAAGGCGTGTTAGGATCCGGACAAATTGACGGTTACCCATTAAACTGAACAGCTACATGTCAAGTTCTTCAGTTATCTTAAAGCCCAATTAGTGGTACTACTTAGGTACTTAGTCAGAAAGCTGGTGCAATGCAGCAGTCAACAAATTATTTAATACAGTTTTTCGACTACTTTTTAAATTACTTTGAGGAATGGAATTGGAAGCAAACATTTTATTTCTATATTACTTTCAACTTAATTGGAAAAACTGATTATACTCCCAATTCCTTTTAAAGAGAATGGACAAAAATTACGTTACGAACACGTAAATAATCCAATTACAATATACAATTCCTTGTAATGGAATAAAAAAAATTAGTTTTGAAATTATTTCTAAGAAATTGAAAAAAGTAATCAATTCTTTTGCTGTGGACTGAAGGAATTGATTACTAATTACAATTCCTTGTAATTTGTAATTGAAAGTAATTTAATTCCTAAAGGAATTATTACGACCAAGCTCTGCTTTTTCCCCAATAAGGTAATTTCGTTTAAATTTTTTTAAGCATGCATGTGCTTATTTTGTAGCCGCTACTGTATGCACACATGATCTTAATGTGACATTTAAGCTTTTGAACGCAAAGCAGCGTTTGTTGTTTACAAACGAAGAAGTCATAGCAATTGGCGTCTTAATAAAAATGCGGTTTCATGTTACTATAGCTTCGCGAACTCAAAATGCAACGTTATCGAGAAAATCGAAAATTAAGAATTGATTTTGGTCACGCTTCTAACCAATCTTTAAATTCATTTTCAGGAAAACCGCAAAGAATGTCTGACTGGGGTGAAGAGGAAGTAAGGTCTGATTATTTTCAAATTAATAAATATTCGTAACGAAATGTTTTTGTTCTTTAAAAGCACGACACAGGCCGCGGCTTCGGCAATGGCTTTGATCACTGCAAAAATGACGAGAACGGAGGAAATGGTGACTACAATGATACCGAGGACGCCGACAATGGAAATCGAGGATTTGGAAATAGACGTGGTCGTGGCAGTGGACGAGGTATTAATAACATTTAAATATTTAGACTTTATGTAATTTTTTAATGGTAATATATTTGAGGTCGCGGTGGACGAGGTGACAGACACGGAGGGGGTGGTTATGGCGGTGGACCTCGGAACAATGATGACAATCAAGACAATGGTAAGTCGCAATGAATATAAATATGTACATACATGCATATTCTTGAGGTTTTTAATTTTTGTTGAAAAATATGCGTCCATAGATGCATGATAAGCTACATAGTTATCATTATTACCCGGAATCTCATGCGCTAAAAACTCGAAAATATGTGCATATAATATGCACGCAAAATTTAAAAATTTGCTTTATAAACGAGCAAAATATTCAATTAAAAATATTTTCCTAATATTTTATTGCCGGTACAAAAATAAATAACATGTATTTTCACAAGAAAATAACGAAAAGAATTTATTGTTAATTAAGCGAAATCACTTGAAAATGCAATACATATTTATGTATAAAATTAGTTTATAATCAAGCAGACAGTAATAGTCTTGTGTAAATAGAAACACTGACAGTTCAATAGTGGTTCAGATGGATTGCTGGTTGGTATAGGTGGATTGTCACCCTGGTGAAAAGCAATTAGCATGTTTGTCATTTATTTAATTCCACAACTCGTGCAACCTACAGCTATTTGGCGGCTTTAATGAATTTCAGTACGTCATACAGAGAGAGACAGCTGCACTGTGAATCATTCTGCAGGAATGTCTGCCGAGTCTCTTATCCTCATCCTTTCGAGGGCTGGACACTCGCATAGGAAGTGTTCGATTGTTTCTTTTGAGCCAGGGTCATCACAACTGCGACAGAGCCTGTTGAAGGGCAATCCGTTCCTTTCGGCATGTACGCCAACGGGCCTGTGCCCTGTGTACTCTGCAATAAGTGTGTGGGTATCTACCTTGATCATTCTAAGAGCTTTGGTTTTAAGTGGACCGTAGGACACCCAGAACTGCCGGGTAATCCTGTACTGTTCCATATTTGCTTGACCTTCCAATGCTAAATTTCGCTAATTTTTGCTTTTATCTCCCTCAGCGCGGCGCCCATGTCTACCGCACCATGAGCCCCACCTTGATAGTTCGTCCACTGCCTCGTTTCCATAAATGTCCCTAAGTACCAGGACCCATATTAGTGTAGTTTCATATTAATCAAAGATATAGCCCAGCTCTCTCGTACAATCATCCACTTTTTTGTCAAAAGATTTCGCACTAAATTTAAACGGTTGTAAATCGAAAAATATGCAAAAACCTCATGCATTTATTATAAAGCAGGGGTGGGCAAGGCCGAGGCCGAAAGGATCCACACGTAAATTCTAAATGCTACAAAGAGCCACAAAAAAAAACAACAAAAACAAAAAATTTATTTTTAAATAAAATTATTAGTAGAAATGAAAAACATTAATTTTATTGATTTCATTTATAGATATTAAAGAAAATTCAAAAGATCCCCTTTGGCCAAATTTTCAAAATCTGCTTGTACGTCAGTTAAAGCCGTGCGTAACAGTTCTGTTAAATGTTGGTTGGTCAATAGGTACGTTCGTTTAAATCTCCAGTAAAAAATTTCCATCAACAAAATACCGGCGAAATGTCATCTGTTCTCTCACAAGAGAAAAATATCCANATTTATTTTTAAATAAAATTATTAGTAGAAATGAAAAACATTAATTTTATTGATTTCATTTATAGATATTAAAGAAAATTCAAAAGATCCCCTTTGGCCAAATTTTCAAAATCTGCTTGTACGTCAGTTAAAGCCGTGCGTAACAGTTCTGTTAAATGTTGGTTGGTCAATAGGTACGTTCGTTTAAATCTCCAGTAAAAAATTTCCATCAACAAAATACCGGCGAAATGTCATCTGTTCTCTCACAAGAGAAAAATATCCAAAATAGTAGGCGAACAGAAAATTTTCAGAAACTTGCAAGTTAGACGAACAGCTGATACAAATTTTGCTTACATTCAAAAGCATAAAGTTGAAAACGTAAGAAAACAAATCCCGAAGTCTTATCCTGACACAGTTCACTGACTAAACGAATAATTACTTACTTCCTACAAGTTTAATCAGTTGCATTTTACTAATTGTAACTTCCAAACCTTCAAATTCAATTTAGGGATTTGCGTAAATACCAACCAACTGTTTTTGATCAGCTGTTTTCTTGTTGGCAAATTGCAGTGGGCAAATTTTTTTTTCCAGCAGAAACGAACAGCTTTCCCTCAAAATGAAATGTCATTTTTTTCTCTCAATTTCCCCTTCTTTGGAAGTATTTGCGTACGCGAACACAAAGAGCTGATGGTTTTTATAACTTTCAATAACTATCAGGTGCGCGAATGCAAATAATTGTGAACGGTATTTTAACTTTACAAAATTTACGCTATGCGCACACTGCAGCCGGCATCGGCCGATATCGCCTATATGCGGGCGATATGAATAAACCAGGGACCGTAAATAACAGTTACTTTTTTTCAATGGTTAAACTTGGCCAGATATTTTAAAGTCGAAAATTAAAGTCCTTTCCTAATAATAAACACAAACCGCTTATCCAAATTAAACAAGTTTGGTGGCACCCTGAAATTGTGCATATGGAAACTGCATACGAAATAATGCATATGAAAAAAACCGAAATAATGCATACGAAAAAAACCGAAATAATGCACATATATGCAGTTTCGGTCTAAACCCGAAATAATGCATATGAAAAAACCGAAATAATGCATATATGCACAGTTTCGGTTGAAAACCGCAATAATGCATATTAGAAAAACCGAAATTATGCTATGCACTGTTTCGTTTGAAAACCGAAATAATGCATATGAAAAAATCCGAAATAATNTGCATTTTACTAATTGTAACTTCCAAACCTTCAAATTCAATTTAGGGATTTGCGTAAATACCAACCAACTGTTTTTGATCAGCTGTTTTCTTGTTGGCAAATTGCAGTGGGCAAATTTTTTTTTCCAGCAGAAACGAACAGCTTTCCCTCAAAATGAAATGTCATTTTTTTCTCTCAATTTCCCCTTCTTTGGAAGTATTTGCGTACGCGAACACAAAGAGCTGATGGTTTTTATAACTTTCAATAACTATCAGGTGCGCGAATGCAAATAATTGTGAACGGTATTTTAACTTTACAAAATTTACGCTATGCGCACACTGCAGCCGGCATCGGCCGATATCGCCTATATGCGGGCGATATGAATAAACCAGGGACCGTAAATAACAGTTACTTTTTTTCAATGGTTAAACTTGGCCAGATATTTTAAAGTCGAAAATTAAAGTCCTTTCCTAATAATAAACACAAACCGCTTATCCAAATTAAACAAGTTTGGTGGCACCCTGAAATTGTGCATATGGAAACTGCATACGAAATAATGCATATGAAAAAAACCGAAATAATGCATACGAAAAAAACCGAAATAATGCACATATATGCAGTTTCGGTCTAAACCCGAAATAATGCATATGAAAAAACCGAAATAATGCATATATGCACAGTTTCGGTTGAAAACCGCAATAATGCATATTAGAAAAACCGAAATTATGCTATGCACTGTTTCGTTTGAAAACCGAAATAATGCATATGAAAAAATCCGAAATAATGCATAAATGCACAGTTTCGGTTGAAAACCAAAATACCGCATCTGAAAAAACCGAAATAATGCATACATGCACACTTTCGTTTGAAAACCGAAATAACGCATATGAGAAAAACGAAGTAATGCATGCATGCAGAGTTTCGGTTCAAAACCGAAATAATGCGTATGACGGAAACCGAATTAATGCATACATGCACAGTTTCGACTCGGAACCGAAATAATGCATATGACAAAAACCGAAATAGTGCATACATGAAAACGAACTTCCTTCTGCATAGGCGGACTTCGGCCGCGCTTAGGGATTATAACCCTTACTTAGTAGAACTCTCCTTTCTGTGTTTCCGGAAAAGAAGGGCGGAAGTATTTTTGCGCAGAACTTCTCTCTGCTTAGGCGGCTTTCGGCCGCGTTTAGGGATTAAA